ATACAGACTTTGAACCAGTGATAAATGATGCTATAAACAATGCTTAAGCATTTAAAGTAAGAACATTTATACTGAGGCAAACATGTATTAAAGAGAAAGAAACCAGACAACTTATTTGCCCTTTATAAACATATCCAAATGAGCTTTAATACATGCAGGACAAATCTACAGATTTTACGGTTCATATTATAAAACCACAGATATGTGAGAAAAATAAGAGGAAATAATGTTCTGGAACTTGGGAAAGCCCTTTGAAGGGTTTAACAGGTAATACATTTGACTTTTAACCATAAGCATACAAGAAAAAAATCTTAACCACAGCAAAAAAAAAATGTCCCATTTTCATGTTCTCAAAATGGCAAAATATTATTCATTCACAGCTCAGATTTTTAATTTTCAGAACCACCAGTTTTCTCTGATTATACACAAACGTTCACAACAGGGATTTTAAGTAGTTCTAATCTTGAACCTACGTGTTAGAAACTACCCTTCTACTATCACTAAGCTCATTTAATCCAACCTCCCTTTCTTTTCCATGACTTCTTTCCCCAAAGCCAGAGCAGTGTTTAACACATCCATCCAAACCCTACGTAAGTGATGGCAGGTCTCTGAGGAATTTGAAGTTACAATGAAATGACTTAAGATAGAGACTGTTTTAATGTAAGAACTCTAACCCCATGCTCTAATAATCAATAAGAATGGAAGAGAAAAGAAGAAATGTAAATGCCAAAAACAATTGTCTTGGGCTTTGGGTCTATTGTTGGTGGCAAATGCTATTTTAATATACCTTGAAAGGTACAATATACTTGTCAAGGCATTTAGAAATAACCTGGCTATTTCAACCACACCAATAAATCTGTTCACATTAAGTAATTACAGAGTAGAAACTACAAAGTAAGAAGACATTAACAAAGATAAAATATTATGTATGCATCATGAACTTAATTTTGGAATTCTTTGTGTTTTATAAGAAGTGGGAAGGTCAGAAAAAGGTGGAGGTGTAGAAACTGCAAAAGCTTCAAGTTGGAAGAGACACGAACTGCAATTACATTCCTGTGCCCTATTTAGAAAACAGGTAGAAGTCATCTTTTGACGTTCAAAAAGGAGATATTTGTTGACTGCATTTTATCTTTCCATTAATTAGTTCTGCTTCAGAACTTATTCATTAAACTCCTCAGCACTTTTGACACACCAAGGAATTATGTACCCACCAAGAGGCTACAGAGGCAAGGATCCAAAAGAATAAAACTGCACCTGTTTCAGGATCCAGAGATTCTAATTAATTTCAAAATGACCTCCCCTCCTCTACTTTTTCACTAGCAAATGAGCCCGTGTAGGAGATAGGAAGGCTGCTAAGTAAAGTTATATTATAGAAACTTGATCTACTGATTCATTAAGGTAGGAGAGAAAGTGAGAAAAATCAAGGAAGGAAGGAGGGAGAACAGAAGACAGGGAGGAAGAGAAGGAGAAAGAAGAGAAAGAGAAACAAAGAAAGAAACAGAGGAGGTGTTTTTAGGAAAAGAATTTCTATAAAAAATTGTGAGTGATTAAAATCCAGAGATTTCATATAATTCTTTGTCTCATTACACCAATATAGGAAAAGTCTCTGAATCCCACAATTTTGGGGGAAGAAGAAAAAAAAACACACACTCTAAGAAATAAAATGTGACAGTTATATGAGACTGGTTCCAATACCCAGGGGCCCAGTGTTCATTTTCACTCTGGTATTGGGTAAAAGCAGTTACCATTTTATTTCAAAATGAAAGGAAAATGCATTTTGTCTGTCTCACTGAGCAAATGATTCTCTTTTAGTAGACCCAGCCCAGAGGCATGATACTCCAAGCTTTCTCCAACCTCTTTTTAGAAAAGGAATTACCAAGGTGCAGCTATAATGAAGAAAATGGGCCAAAACAAATGACCAGGAGTCAGCTGCTGAGCTAATGTATCATGACAATCTCATTTTCATGTGATATATTGATGTCTGTTTCCCTCAATCCCCACTGAGGGAACTTTCGGGAAATTGAAACACATTGGTTTGGGACTTGTGTTTTATCCTCCTCTTTAAGTAAACCTTTAAGTCTGTTCAAAGTGCTGGATTCTGGGTTTATGTTCATCCTAGCTACTTAGGAGGCTGAGATTTGAACATCAAAGGTTTGAAGCCAGCCCAGACAGGAAAATCCATGAGACTCTTATACAAATTAACCACGAAAATGCTGGAAGTGGAAATGGTAGACCAACAGCTTTGGGCAAGAAACTAAGCGATAGTGCCCAGGTCTTGAGTTCACAAAGAATTGTTCTGTTTTTAAAAAATATTTTATTGGGCTGGGAAGTTGGCTCAGTGGTAGAGCGCTTGCCTTGCATGCCTGAGGCCCTGGGTTCGATTCCTCAGCACCACATAAGCAAAAAGAAAAAAGCCGGAAGTGGTGCTGGGCTCAAGTGGTACAGCGCTAACCTTGAGCTGAAGAGCTGAGGGACAGCGCCCAGGCCCAGAGTTCAGGCCCCATGACTGGGCCCTAAATAAATAAATAAATAAATAAAAATATTTTATTATATTTAACTAGTTGTACAAAGGAGTTGCCATTCACCAAAGTAGTTTATGGATTCAGTTCATCTTGATCAATGTCATACCTTTCAGCATTGTCATGCAACTGTTCAATTTTTATGGAGCATTAACTATGCTTCCCTTATACTCCAGCCAACACAGCAGAGCAAACCCCAGGTAGCATTCAATACAACCAGAGAACTGATTCTAGTGTACTGCACTCCTTTCTTGCAAAAATATTTTCAAAATTTGTTCCTAGGATTGTAACTGTAAGCTTATTTATAGACACTGGAGAAAAAGGTTGCAAACAATGCTATTCAGAGATCTGCCACCCTGCGCCATTTTTGATCACTCACATTCTTTTATAGAAACTCTTTTCCTATAAAAGGCCATTTCTTCTTGGTTCCTTTTCCAAAAATTGTGATTTTTATTTTTAGGTCCATTTTCATTTTTGTGTTGGATTTGAAATCAGCTTTCATTGTGGCTTTCTAAATCCATCGACCTTTTTCTTATGAGAATAAGTAGCATTCAAGTTGCAGTGGGCTCACTTCAGTAACTAAAAATCCAATCATTTAAAGATTGAGCTCGTTTTTCATGAGATACCAACCATGATGAATATGATCAAAATGGACATCTTGGCAAAGTCTAACTTACTTCACCTGAGAAAAAAAAACATAGGCTCATCACTCCTTCCTTTTAGATCTATGCTGCAGGCATCTGAGCAGAAAGTAACTGAAAAGTTCATCTAGAATATTCTTAACCAATGTGTATTTCTTACACAATCCTCAAACTGCCAATGTTTAATTTTGTCAGTGTCCTACACTGTTATCCCTTTCATGGTCATACTATTATTAGAATAACTATCTACTGGATCTCTGAATTTGAGAATGAAATATTTTAGTGACCACTTTTTTTGTATTATCTTTACATAGCTGTACAAAGCAATTGTTATTAACAAAGCAGCTTATGAATGTAATATATCTTGATCACTGTTACCCCTTTCAATGTTCTCACCCATCCCCACCCTTAACCAGCCTTCCCTCACCTCTTCTTAATTTTGTAGGATCTACATTGGATTTTTATCTGTATTTCTCCCTCTTCCGCTCTTCAGTCTTCAATCTCTTTTCCCTTGACCCCACCCTATCCCCATCTAGTACGGCTTCCTGGTGCTTAATTTTGCTGAACTTTTATTTTTGGCTTTCTAAGAAATTATGCTATTTGAGATTTCCCTTGACTCTACCATGTTTTGATTAATACATTTGTGTACACTTGCATTCCATCCAACATAATCGACTTATAGTCTGCAAGCTATATATAAGGAGAAACATTCATCCTGTTGCTCTAGGCCTGACTAACTTAACTTACTATAATTTTTTTTACAAAGCTTTCCATTTCTTTACAAATAGTACAATATCATTCTATCTAATGGATAAGTATAATTCCACTGTGTATATGTAACACATTCTGTTGATGACCAATAGACACATGAAGAAATGTTCAATATCTCTGACCATAAAGGAAATGCAAATCAAAACAATACTTCACTCCAGTTAGAATGGCCACTATCAAGGAAATAAACACTTAACAGATGCTGGAGAGGATGTGGCCAAAAGGGAACTCTACTACATTGATGGTGTGAATGTAAACTTGTTTACCCACTCTGGAAAGCAGTATAGAGGTTCCTCAAAAAAAAATTAAACATAGAACTACCCTATGGATCCAGCAATTCCAGTCCTGGGTATTTAACCCAAAAGATTACAAACCAGAATACAGTGAAGCCACCAGCATAAACCATGTTTATTACAGCACTCTTCACCACAGCATCTATTCTTGAATAGATCTAGAATGAATATTTTATTAGCCAAATGATTTCCCTGACTTAGGAAGATGGATGAATCAGATTTATAAACCCAGATGTAATTCACTCACACTATGTTTCCTTGTGAGACTCCTGAGAACCTTCTACAATTAACTTCTGAAATCCTTTGTGACAAGGCAGTGCAATCCAAATAGAGACTTAAGGTCATTCACTTACTAACTAGACAAGTCAGTAAGCTTTCCTGGGCCCTTCCTTAGCCCCTCTTTAAAGGAAAGGGCTGAAGTATCCAGGTTCCATTGCCTCTCTAGATTAACTCCCCAGGTTACTAACCAAACATTCATTCCTAAAGCTAGCTCACACTTACAGAGGACCTTGAGGCTGTCCTAAAGCAACTCTCCCACAAACTGTCACAGTTGAATGGGACTCTCATGCACCCCAACAGGCCATGATGAATACAAATAATGCTCATTGCTCAAGCACTATGGCTGACTAGTTTTCACTAAGATTGTTTCATTACTACCCACTTTCTAAAGTTACCAAACTGGAAGAAAAAAAAAAAAGAAAATGTTTAAAAGCCTGACAGTCAATAGCTCTAAAGTCGTAATATGTTTGTGACTATGTGAGGAAAGTTCACAGTACCTAAAATAGCCACCACCTCATCGTCCTGGATGACCTCCAAGGAACCTGACACCACGAAGCAGAGAGCATCCACGCTTTCTCCAGCATGGTAAATGAGATCGCCAGGAGCACAGTGAATGGTTTGGAACTCTACCGCCAAGGCGCGCAGACACCCATCGCTGGCCAATCGAAAGGCAGGATGCTCATTAAAAACCTTCCGGTTTAGATGAACGCAGATATCAGCTCTCATGTCCTTGGGACAGATGGAGAGGACCTGGAGAAAATGAGAGATGAAGACATAAGAGGGAACGAAAGAGGAAATCATTCCTGAGGGGGGGTGGGGAGAGGAGGAAGGCCAAAGGCTCAACAAATATTAGTTGACTAAGACAACACTGTACATGGTATCAGAAAGGCAAAATGAATAAGACACAGTTCTGCTCTCAAGGAGTTCACAATCTACTGAGAGGGGCCAGCATTCCTATGGATTATCACAGTACAGTATCACGTAGGCAATGCTCTGAGAGGAGAATGGATCTCCCATGGTAAGAACCATCAGGAAGAGTCTCAGAGGAAAAAAAAAAAGATTACTGTCATCAAGGCTCACTAAAATGGGTAGTCACATACACTGCAGTCAAACATGTTTCAGAATTATAACTGAATCAGAGTTGAGAACCACGGATTTCTGTGCACATTTAGAAATAGATTCCCACTCACCGATTCTAAGAAACTAAAATCAACAAAAGCAGCCCACCAACTTGACATGTTGGCTGACGTTGCTCTATTTTCTTCAGTCTGAGTGATTTTTCTTTTGCCAACAAATTTAAGGCCAGGGAGAAAGACAGAGAGAAAAAAAAATGTTTGCCCCAGCCTTCCATAAGGCTTAGGTAACTGGAAGTGTCACTCATAGCAGAGTAGACACATCACCGCATGACAGCTTTTGTTCATTCCAGTCTGACTCCCTCAAGACTTCTGGGGAGAATAGAGGAATTCAAGCTCTGAGCATCCAATGAAGGAGGGACAAATGGCAAAAATCATGCATAGAAAGCAAGGTGGACAGACATTTTTTTAAAAAATCAGTCATGAGGCTTGAACTCTGGGCCTGCAAGCTGTCCCTGAGCTCCTCAGCTCAAGGCCAGAGCTCTACCACTTGAGCCACAGCACCACTTCCAGTTTTTTGGTGATTTATTGGAGATAAGAGTCTCACAGACTTTCCTGCCAGGGATGGCTGTGAACCATGATCCTCAGATCTCAGCCTCCTGAGTAGTTAGGATTACGGGCATGAGCCACCGGCACCCGGAGACACTTTTTATTGATACAACTTTCTTATATAGCATTTAAATACTCAAGTTAGAATAGACTCCATCATTACATTGAATGGTAAGCATGAGGTGATACTGAAGTTAGTACTACTCACCTTAAAGACATGCATACAAACTCAATTAGGACCTTCCACCGATATCCTTGATTAAACTATTGTGTTTGTTTTTTAATGTAAGACCTCAGTTTCTCAAAGCTGAAGATAAGCTAGTTTCCCCTCATTATGTCATAGTGTATACTAATGTAATTCATAATACTTTTCTTTATTATACTACTCACACATTTGAAGCCTTAAAAAATGACCTAAGATTTAAAATAGCTCCTAACTATTTCTTTTGTTTGGGACTCACTCTGGATGAAACTCTGGCTGCTTTAGTGTAGTAAAAGTGACCCCATCATACAGTCCAATTAAATTACACTTTATGAATTGGGAGAATTCATTCTCTGAACCTTTTCCTAATAGCTTAAACATTATTTCATATCACAGGCGTCTGGGTTTGTTTTTTCATAATCTCTCAATTTTTCTAGTCCCTTCCCTTTTTGAACTATCTCTTCTTTGAGGAAAGAAATACCATAACAGAGCTTTGAAAACCATTGGCACTTTTATCATTCATGCTATTTCAATAATAGTGCAATGTTTTCTTTCGTATATTAATTTTCACTGAGTTCAGACAACATTAGTTATTTAACACGTACTTTCTTAGCTTCTACTGTGATTCATATTTTGCATAATTAAGTTCCTCAATGTGGAAAGATAAATAAGACATAGGTGCTAACCATGATTTCAGAAGGTAAACACATAAGTGATCATTGTGCCTGAGTTTTATTTATGAGTTACATAAGTCTGGGTGTAGATCTACGACTTAACTGTGTCTGTAGCCTTGAACACAGTATTTAATCTCATCAACCTCATCTCTGCAAGGGGGATAATAATAGTGCTTACATCAGAAACTCATTGTGAAGATTAAGGGGAAATGCTGACGACTTGAGCCAGTTCAGCTAGGCACATAGCAAGGCTAAATAAAGACTGGTTTTTAGCTTCTTCATGAATCATGAGTTTCTATAGTTTATTGGTGTTTTAACTCTCTGCCAAAGCAATTTTCTTTTTTCTTCACATTCTACCCCTGTATGACACTTGTATCGGAACTGTTTTTATAGGAATGAAGAGAGTATTTTAGCATAAATCTAAAGGTATCTTAAGTACTCATTGAGGCCAAAATTTTTCTCAAGTTGGAAATAAAATGAGCTCTAAGAAAGCAAAAGAATGACTTTTAAATAAATACACACATATAAATAGTACACTGAAAAATATATTGTGAAAATGTATTGGTCTGGGTCTGTTTCTATTCATTTACCATATAGGACTTTCATTGCTTTAGATTCATTTTGTCAAGAGCCATCTTCTGTCCTTTAAAATCATTTTTTGAGGGTATAATCATTCAGTGTTTGTAATAATATGTTCACTGGTATACTAGAAGGGTTGTCATTGTACATTAAGAACATCCCTTTCTGTTTTATCCCATGTATGACACTAGATCATTTATCATTTTGATAGATGGTTTATATTTATGTCCAGATGCCAAGAAATGATAAGCCAAAAGTAATTGTTAAGGTAGATCAAGGGGAGTCATGCGCAGGGCCTTTGCCATCTCTAGACAGATGATGTACCTGACATGAAAATAAAGCTGAAGTGCTATTTACCTGGGAAACGAAGGTGCTAATAACTTTCTTAGGCAAGGAAAAATTGTGTTTTAAATGGCAGAGCAAGACAGCACTCACACTTAGCCCACTGGTCTCAATTTCAATGTTCCCTGCACTAAATATCACATCCACCCTCCTCCAGGTACATTCCCCGATGGGTATCACCCAATTACCAGCAAATCAAATTACATTACATTAGAAAATGTTCAAGTGAAAAGTGGCTTTTGTTTGTCTCCAGAGCTGGTTATTTCTCCCTTCTACATGTCAGCAAACTAATAAATTAAGGTTGGCTCTTAATTAAGACAAGCAATAAATTTTCCCTTCAGGAGAGCTATAGAATTACATAATTAATCAGTTTTGGGGATCTGCAAACCAATCCTGAAAATAAATAAATTTAAAAAAAGAAGAACATCTTGGTCTGAAAAATTAAGAAATATATACATTATTAATTATCCATTAAACCCAAGGCCCAGTGGTCCCAGAACAGATGTTCTCAGGCTCCAAAGGTTCAACCTCAACACTGTTTTCAGGAACTTTTCATAAACAAAGTAAATCCGGTGACACCTGGTTATTTCCAATGGCTTACGTCCAAAGTAAAGCCAAAGATCTGAGCAAACACAATGATCTGTTCATGATGACCAGGTCCTCCTCCATCCTAACTACTTCCCCCAATGTGACCTCTCAGTCACACACTTCCACCACTCTGGCCTCGCCAGCCTTTCTCGTGACCACATTGGCAATACCCATCATCCTGTTTTTTGATTATCTATCTCCCATTCATCTGTCTCTATCATAAACATAATCTCCATATGCACTACCATAGAATTTAGCAATATGGCTGCCCACAGGAGCACACTAATTCTAGAGAGGTAGAGATGGGGAGAATTAGGGCTCCATGCCAGCCTGAGTGAAAAGTCTATGAGATCCTCATCTCATCTAATAAAAACTTGGCATATTGATGCATGCCTATCACCCCAGCTACACAGAAAACATAAATGGGAGGATTGTGGCTCAAGGCAGCCAGTCGTAAATGCAAAGTCCTATTTGAAAAAAAGGGGCTCAGGTATTGCCTTCCAAGTACAAGGCAATGAGTTCAAACTCAAGTTATTCCCCTTCAAAAAAAATTAGCAATGGACAGTAGACAAAGGAAGAGGTATTATGATCATTGTAACTGCTGTTTTTAAAGATGGCCACAGATAGTAACATGAGGTGACACTGTCCAAAAGGAAACCAATGTACTCTCTACCTGACTTATAGGTAACCCCTCTACATCACCTTTATAATTGCAATTAAGAAAATTTAAAAAATAGCAACATGGAATTATGATGAGGAATTTCGAACTTCTATTCTTCAGGTATAAGATAATTCTTCAGTGTGTTGGTGAACATGAGCCTTATGTACAATATATAAAACATGCAAGTTAAAAGAGAAAGAAAGCATTAAAAAAAACCATTTTAAAAAACATGCAAGTAGAATGATGCTAGGGAGAAGCAAAGATGCAGAGTGGGCCTCACAGGCAGAGCTCCACAGGCCATTCAGTCATAGTTAGTGAACACTGGTTATGTGCCCAGCACTACGCAGCCCTTCTAGGTCTACAACCAAATTTTTCACACTGCTGCTTCCCTGGAGCTTTCGCTGGGCACAGATTGAAAAATCACTGTTCCGAGGCCAATGCTCCATTTACACATAAGACAAATGCATTTCATAAAAGCCATGTGATGTCCTGAGGTATTCTCAAAACATTATAAGCAAAACCTCTGGAGTTCCAGCTCTGAAGTCACACTCCTGAGTAAAGATCAATCAGGAATAAAGAATGTCATCTGGCATCTTCTGGCATTTTCTTTGTATATAACAACGACATAAATACTGATTTCTAAAAAGTCATTAAAATCCAATCTTGATTTTGGTTATTAGAATTTTCATTACTAATTAGAAATAATCAAAATCTATAGTTTGTTTATTGGAAAACTACTAATTTCGCACCTCAGTAGCCGAGAATGGTGTTTTTTCCAATTTTCCCATTTCTTTTTAACAATTTAATAATTTTTAAAAATTGGCATTTTTAATTTCATCTATTTTTCTTGTTTTTTATTTTGTTATGCCAGTCCTAGGGTTTGAACTCAGGGCCTCAGCTCTGTCCCTGAGCCTTTTTGCTCAAGTCTGTCCATCTACCATTTGAGCTACACTTTTCCTTGCAGCATTTTTGGTAAATAAGTGGAGATAAGGGTCTCACAAACTTTCTCATTGGACTGGTTT